TGATGCCGATAGCGCGTCCGTAGATCGCCATCGTGGAAAACTGTACGGCTTAGACGAAGCAGAGCGAATCGTTTCCCGCTTAAAACGGCGGATTGTCTTTCATTTCGCTCGAGATCTGAATAGACAGGAAACTCACCCTGGCTCTTTCTTCATCGGCTACACTGGCTTGCCAAAAACTTCGTACATTCGACGTTCCGGATCTCATACTACGACCGACCATCCCTTGTTTGCTGTAGGAGTTGGGAAAGGCTTCTGGAATGGATCTCTTGAGTAGAATGTAGATTAAACGAGGGGGCTGATAATAATTTTCAACTAAAGCAATGGACTTCGGAAAGAATTTCAGAAAAGTAAAAGGCAATCAATCGGACAAGGCTTTGAAGCCTCATTTATAATCCTTTACCACAGCTCATCTACAAGAAAGTGCTTCTTTTTGACGCTTTCAACGCCTTAGTATAAATTGTTAGAAATCAATCATATCCGATATAATAGTAGCTATTAATCCTCATAAGAAATTCCAAAAGCAATGCCTCACGTAAAGTCACGTAGACCCATCCGCTGATGGATTTCAGAGGCATGCCGGGAGGCGAGACAACTAACCAGGATTATCGAACAACACATGGTCTACGACTAGTCAACTAGTCAGGAAACACCGCCCGCTGTAAACGATTCGAGACCAACAGTTTACCCAACAGCAACCCACTCGGTGGATAACCGACTATTGGGATCCGGAAGAACACCCAAAACATATCCCAGCGCAAATTTGCCCTTAAATCCTCTACAAGCACACGCTGAAGGAACAGGGAAGATTTTTCAGCAGCAACAGCATTTTTGAACCAAATTGAGATAATACAAAAAGTGCAGGAGTAATGCGACAGAAAATTTTCTCTCTATGGGTTTGATGGACTCCGGTGGTCTTCTGTAATAGAGGGCAAGGTACTGGGTGTAGAACGGTAAGAACTCTGCAAAGTCGTCTGAAAGGTGAAGGACAAAGACTTTCAAGTAGAGTAGCGTCAACAAATCAATTAAAACTATCTAAAGAAACAACAGCGATTATCTACTGTCAGTTCTTCAATGGTTGCTGTCATGAGAATTTGGATCAACCGACAAAAAGAGCGAAGTTTGCCGATCTGGCGGGTGCATCGAACATCTTGTTCGCTGTGTTCCTAGTTATGATCCGGTATAGAGGGAGGAAAATCAAGATCAGTGCATACGCGAGAGCTGAACAGATCTACAAAGTCAGATGACAAAAACCTTCNAAAACTAACTTTAACTTTATTTCAAGGAAATTATGAATTCCGACTTTATGATTTGTCATTTAAATCGAGTCTTTGCAACAAAGTTTTATATTTTTTATTTTTTTCTAAACATTTTATTTGTCATTGCGAAAAAGCATGGAAGTACGAGATGTCCCTCAGATTTATCCATGTTTCCGATTTAGACGGCTGTATCTTCCTTCTGTGAAGTATTTTCACCGAAGAATGGTCTGTCGCCTAGGTTCCCTTGAGTAGAATTGTTTTTCATGAGAAACCTACTTTATGGATTTCCGCCAATCTTTCGGTTTCTTTCATCTTCTGAAGCCGCTGCTCAGGTATGCGGCTATCTTTTGGCACGTCGACGTTGTTCGAGGCGACCAGTGATGCCGATAGCGCGTCTGTAGATCGCCATCGTGGAAAACTGTACGGCTTAGACGAAGCAGAGCGAATCGTTTCCCGCTTAAAACGGCGGATTGACTTTCATTTCGCTCGAGATCTGAATAGACAGGAAACTCACCCTGGCTCTTTCTTCATCGGCTACACTGGCTTGCCAAAAACTTCGCACATTCGACGTTCCTGATCTCATACTACGACCGACCATTGCCTGCTTGTTGTAGGAGTTAGGGAAGGCTTCTGAAACGGATCTCTTGAGAGCTAGTAGTAGATTAACCGAGGAAGCTAATAATCAGTTTCAGCCGAAACAGTGGACTTCAGCAATTATTATAAAAAATGATGTTCATTAAAACTCAGAGCTTGGAACCCGCATTTTATCATCCTCTACCCTGGACATGCATCAAAAATTGCTAATTTCAGTCCTACATAAATCCTCATAAAATACTATATAGGGTTAGAAATCAGTAGTAATTGATCTAGTTGGAGGTATTCGTTCTCATAATAATCATTAGAAGCAATGTCTCAGGCCCATAGTCACGTAGAACCATAACTCATGGATTCCTTGGAGTGACATGGGGCATGCCGCATGGCAAGAGAACTACCCAAAACCACCTATTTGAAATGATCTCAAGAAAGTATAAGAACGGTCCGGCAGGAAAAATCGTCTCTCTCGTGTTGATAGACTCAAGCGCCTCCTGTAACAGGAGGGCAAAATATTGGATGTGGAACGATGAGAACTTTGCAGAATGTTTAACGTTCAGAAAGTGTAGCAGAAAGACTTTCAAGATGAGTAGCGTTAACAAATCAACTGAAACTATCTAAAGAAACAACAGCGATTATCTACTGTCAGTTTTTTAATGGCTGCTGTCATGAGAATTTGGATCAACTGACAAAAAGAACGAAGTTTGTCGATCTGCCGATACAACGAACGTCTTGCGTAGCCGTGTTCCTAGTTATGATCCGGTATAGAGGGAGGAAAATCAAGATCAGTGTATACACGAGCCATGAGCAGATCTACAAGTGGCTAGAAGACAAAAATCTTTGTAGACGGTTCTTGAAACCCCTCTGGCCAATCTTATCACGTCTTCTATAAGAT